TCATTCATAATTCAGGACAGAGTGTTAGACTGTGCAAAGTTAAAAATTTCATATTGAGCAGCTTTTTGTCTAATTGAGATGGGTCTTTGTTTTTGTAGCACTCTGTTCCATGTTGAGTATATTAATAAATCCATATAAATAATAAACATTTGATATAATGTATGTATTTACATTAGATATTCATTTTACACATAATTGCTATATGTAATGGTACAAGCAACAAGGATCTGACGAGTGCCATTGGGAGCCGAAAGAGGCCGTTCTTTTTAGTGAGCCGAGCCAAAAGAACCGGTTCTCTAAAAAGAGCTGGAATTCCCATCACTAGTTCACAACCTAAAGCCAGAATTGAACTTTATTGTTTGTAGCTTGCTTGCTTTGTTTGTTCCACGAGCTGAAAATAAAGGTCATTATTGACTGTATGCCTGCCTAGGTGTGTTGCATTTTGGTCCTAAACTGACCTGTTACATGTTTGTTTGTGAAGCACTTTGTAACTGTTGTAGAAAAGAAAATGCATTCTGGGATAAATTTCAGTGAAAAATGAAGCAAAATATATTATGTTATGTTCATTTTTATATGCAAACAATATTCATATTCCATGCTTGTGTTAATTTTCATATAATATTCACATGTTATGTAATGTATGTAACTCTGAAGTATGAGGGCTAAGGAAACTTTAATGCAACTCTAAAGGGAGCCTGTAGCAGATATGAAAGGAAGGATGGGAAAGGAAGATCCTTGTCAGCTCTGGGTAAAATATGAATATCAGGTGTGCTATGACAGAATACTTATGTTATTGCAGTAATCAGACACATCAATAGTCATTGTACAGTACAACTGTACAAGGATTGTTAGGTTTTGATTTAATAGACATAGACATTGAAGTGAGATGATTAACTTCAACTGCTGTGTCTTATTTGTAAGCAATCAGCAAACACTGTAAATTAAGCCAAGCCTGATTCTTTAATGGCATATGTCAGAGCTGGTTGCACTGTGACATTAAATGTGTGTGTGTGTGTGTGTGTGTGTGTGTGTGTGTACGTACAGAGGAACAGAAAACCACGAAAAATAACCTATATATAAACTGAGGAAGTAGCAGTGGTGTGTTTAATGTCACATCTGAGTGTTTGGAGTAGGAAACATCTAAAAGAAAGTCTTCAACCTGTTGATTTATTTGTGACCAGCAGCCGAAAAGCAGTTATTCAATTTACAATAATATGAAACAGAAAGCAGTCCTGACATTTGAGAGTCTGTGAGCAGCAAATGTTTGGTATTTTATGGGATTAGTGATGTATCAATTGCTTATTAAAACTATCCTCAATAATTTGACAATCAACAAATTAATTACTATCATCATCAGTAATAATTTCTGCACTGATAATGTTCATGTTTATTTTGGTGTGTCAGTAATTTGAAGTCTTTAGTTTGCTGAAAACTGTATGTAACTTTAAGAGCAGCACAATGTCCCTAATTTGGAGCATCACCTGAATGCACCATGTACTCTGTGAAGCAGGACGGAAGCCATATAACGTGCATTATTAGACCATAGACCAACTACTTGAGTTTACGACACATGAAGGCATTCGTCTCAGTGCTTAAAATGTATTCGGTTGCAGTTTTCATCCTGCTATGGACGGGACTGAACAGCGGTATGTTTTCTAATCAATTAATAGGATGTCTGCAAAAGTAAGAATAATAAATAACTGATGCTTTTTGAATTAGAATTTAAAAAATGATTTACATTCATCTCACAGGCCTCCTGCAACAAAGACATGGCTGATGACGTCAAGTCAGTCAAAAACAAAGATAGATGAATATTTTCTTTATTTGAATAAATTAATTAAAAGAATATTTGCTTTTTTTGATTACTTAAAGATAAACTTGTCTTGGATTAAAGATTAAATGCAGGTGTTTTATTTGTGTAAGTCAGAAGAGTGAAAATCTCAAATTCATGAAAAAACATCACTTTTTCATTCATGTTGTCACTTTTGCCGTTGATTCAACACCTCTGGGCCACCGTACTTAGACTAACCCACCTACTTTTCCCCTGTAAACTGCTCTGGACTGAACCCTCCCTAACAGGGGTTAATGAATCCTCCACCTGGTCTAATAAATACCTGTCTGTCTTTCTACCTGTTGACTCCGGCAGAGATCCATTCCATCACTTACATCTACACAGCCTTCTCCCAAACCTGTCGAACTCCCGGGCCTCCATCAGTTCACAGCCATGGGTCAGCTGGACAACAAGTGATTGATTACTTTTGACAGTGATTCGCCAGAAGAAAGTTCCCAAAACAGGACTGGATGAGAGAGCGACTGCCTGCAGATTACTGGGACAAAGGCACACAGTCCCGCCAGAGCAAGCAGCAGTGGGTTCAACGTCAACATCGGCATTCTGAAGAATCGAATGAGAACAGAACGACTCGGGTAAGATCCATGAAATATTTACTCTATTAAAACTCCTGCCTGGGTTGTTCTTTGAGTCATATTTTAATTGCTGATGACACAATCGCTCTACAAGGATAAAAAAATCTAATCGTGCACTCCTTTCTTTCAAAATGTTGGACCACACACATTCAAACTTCATTATTCTTGTAATCTTCTAATCCATTTCCTCATTAGTTCATGTTTTATTTCACTGTCCTGGCCCTACCTCTGGTCTTCAGATATCCATGTTCTTCAGTGGATGCACGGCTGTAAGGCGGAAAGACAGTCCGACGGCAAGATGAAGTCACAAGCGGGAGGGAACATGTACAGCTACGATGGAAATGACTTCCTGTCCTTTGACGACACCCATGAAGTCTGGGTTGCCCCAGTTCAGGGGCAGTGGAGACCAAAGAGAAAAGTGGGATGAAGTCCAGGTCCTAAAAGAATACACCAGAGGTTACCTGGAAGAACGAGTGTATAGATTGGTTGGCAAGTTTCGTGGAGTACGGGAATAAGCAAAGCTGAGAAGCCTGTACGTACGACTGATGGTCGTTTCTGTAGTTTTATATTCATTGTTAGAAAGAAAATAGACATAGTTTTAGTAATAGGGGATTATTGTGCAGGTGGTTAAAATATGATACATGAACACTAACGATTCTTTAAACGACGGAATTTATACTACTGAAAATAAATGGTCTGTGAGCCTGTAACCATTTTCTGTTATTATAGTATTTGTATCTTATTCAATGTAACAAATAACTTCAAATAACTCAAAGATTAATTTGAATCATGTAATCAACTTTTTGCTGAGAAGGTAGAATCACTACATTAGAAGCCTAATTAATGTAATTTACCAACCTGAAAACCAAATCCAATATTAACCTGCCACTAATGGAAGCAACACACCATATTACAATACCGATATACTCAACTATGACCTTCAAATCCAGACAGAAATTTCTTTAAAAAAAGAAATTATAAAAGGAAGCATGTGTCAAAGCTGTGGTGTTTGATTTTGGCCGTTTTAGTAGCACAATAATTTGTTTTTGTATCATACTGGTGTTATAATGAAAATGACCACATTGATGATGACATTGATCAAATATTA